ATTTCTCATAAGGCGGGAAAAGCAAAGCAGGTAGAAAAGGATAGCGCGCGCAGCCGACGGGTTAATAAACAAGTTTTTTTTTTATAGTGCAAAATCATCAACTGTCCAAAAAACCGTACAATATCGTAGGATATTTGTACTCTACTCGCGCGTTATATTTACTTTCTTTGTGCAGTTGGATAATAGGGCACAGTTATTCGCAGATAGTCTGGATAAACAATGATATGCCACGAAACTTCTCTTGTGAATTTGCCCGTTTTGCATATAATCCACGTTATGTTCCGGGATTCCCGAAACCCTGGTTCCTATCAAAAATTCTTCTCACTGGTGGTCTAATTAGAAGGCTTTCATCCTTATTTCCGGCTTGTACCGGTCCAAAATAATTTTCGATTAGAACTTTCACTATTTCAAGTCATTTATCTTATAAAAGGGACTTCACTCCTGAAGCAGTGAGCATTCAACGGTACAATAGCGCGTGCTTTCGATGAAAGAAATCATTCGAAAGCTGCGACAATTTTTTACCTCTCTGCTTCCAAGAGGCCATGATGTAATGTTACCAAATTTATCCTCGCTTGGAGAAAAAGTACTTCCGTTTTGGAGGGGTACAAAAAGCGAACGACCAATCAGATGACAGTTAGTGTAATATCAACCAATCACGACCCGAGAAAATACCTTGGACACCATGTTTGATTTAAATAAGAAATCGAAAGAATAATTTCATCTAAAAGCTTTTAGTACTTCAGAGTGGTTGATCGATGGTCCAGCGCGAAATTCTTTTGATTTTGATGAAAACTTTTGGCCATTTGTCTAGCTTAAAACCTGATCTGGTATGCCTAAGCGTGGGGCTGAAGCCAGAGTGGGTGAGTAATTTTCATGCGCTTTTTTCTTCTGCCGACACTGAACTTTTCCCAAACTGGTTCGAATTGTGCTACCTCAGCGTAAAAATAAGCTAACTAAAGATTTCACGAGGAATTGCCAAAATGATGCAATTTCCTATGAGTCCTTTTAATTTGTCGAATGAGGAAGCTTTGGGCTGTATGTTGCTTACCATTTGCTGAGCTGGAAGTGAACGAGTGACGGCCGAGTGCTTTGGTAGCCAATTTGTAACTCGTGCGAATCTGATCATTACTTGTGCTCACTCATAAACAGTTCGAGTTAAAAGGCAATTTTTCAGACATTTTGTCCTTTTTCTTCCTTATTAATTTTATGACAGGTCTATTTTACCTCTAAGAAGGATTCTTGGGCACATTCCTAGATTTGCTTATGTTTAGACAATACAGCTGGTAGAGTATTTTAAAAAGTCAGTGAGAGCTGGCCTTCACGAGATTTGTAGCGTAAATTGTTCTGGATCATATGAATTTTTTCTGCAAATGTTTGTTGAGGGCTTCAAATGCCCAAAACCTTTCTAAAACAGGGAATTTGGGTAATCCTTGGAGAGAATTTACTTGTGAAGCTGGGAACAGTCTGACACTAACAAGAAAATTAAACTACAGTGGGATATTAGGTACTTACATATCAACTTAACTTCATGTTTATATGATTATTTCTCACAAAAATATTTAATACACATATTTTTTAGGAAACGAGGATTCAAGTGGCCATGGTGTGTATGGTTTCATCGGAGATTTGATTCGCGAAGGAAAAGATGCCAAATTTGTGAATAAAAAGGGGCGCTATGTCCTAAACTGGTCCAGTACCTTGGAGCGCTATGCCATCTACAAATCCAAGAAAAATCCTCAGTTTAAAAGCAAGAACATTAACAGGAGGAAGGCTAGCAATGGTCTGAGGGCAGCCTTGCTCAACATTTACAAAAAGGATGGAGCAAAAGAGTACAAAGAAAGCAAAAAGATCAATGACAAGGATGAAGTCATAGAGAGACAGTTCCAGATGCCACCTAAAGTGTTTCAGTCACTGTTTGGATCTAAAGTGGAACTTTCAGATGACAGTGATCACGAGACAAGCAGCACATCTTCAGAGGTATATGATACAAACCCCACTAGAACTCAAGTATATTTAGGGCAGGTGTATGCTACCTAGTATTTTCAAAACTTGTGCTCTAGATAAAGGATATGATTCGAAGAGTATTCCTGTGTCTATAAATGATCACAACTATTATTTATCTTAATGCCTTAGACAGACATGGAGCAGTTTGTTTGTTTTAATTAATGTGCTTTGGGCAAGACTTTTGCACAACCACCTACTTCATTATTCAAACAGTTCTTGGAAAATAAAAAAACGGGAGAAACAAGAGTTTGCCTTTGGGTCTATGGCTTTGTTTTAGAATAAAAAAAGTATATGACAATACTGAAATCTTCCAATAACGCATAGAAAAGGGGCAATGTTTTAATATCATTATGGCATCAGTTCAAACACTTTTTGCCCTAAATTTAATGCCCCTTTTTTTCTCCAAACACCGTTAATTAAGGCTGATGAGAAACTGCAAGCATCACCTGATGTAGGCGGGTCTCCTGACACAAGTGACACAGGTTTTGAGGAAGCCATGGATGTCTCTGATGGTAATAGTGACTTTATATTTTGGGCCTGTTTTGGAAAATTGT